GTTATCTTCCTCTGACTGTGTCTTTTCTACTTTCTGCTTAATATTCTTCAGTGACTCAAGTTAATCACACCCAATTCTGTGAACTTTGCTTGTACCCATAACTAATTCCAAGGTTACTGATGCATTTCATCATTCAGGCAAGAGACATTAAACAGAAACTCACACTTCTCTTTCATGACAGAGAACATGCACGTTCTGTACATCCTCCAGTGACAAAAACCACACCCTAGTCTATTTGCTCTGCTGTACCTTTAGACAAGTTCATCAAGGATGTTTACTTACGTTTTATAGCACAGCAACAAAATGCCATAAATTTCTCTCTTTAATATGTTAGTTCTGTGACTTTGCTTTTCTCATTGCACAAAATCCACAGCTTAAAAAATTCTGTGATGAATGTTAGCTACATAACCATAAAGGTCAAATAGCTTAAATAGCAGCTTGGCTAACAGAGACAATCCATAATTCAGTATTTACATGTACATTCTTAGGACTGTAAAAATCTCCATAGAGATCTGGGGACACACACTGTCACTTCAAAGTGGATAAAAAGAAAAAATCGCTTCATGTTGCCTTAAAAGTAACAATATGTCCATCGGGTTTCTGGGAAGACAGTCTTTCTAGCATTATTTCTTTTGCTTGGACATCAAAAAAGAAGCTAATGTTCAATGGAGAAAACACCAGGGCAAATCTAGTGTTCCTGAAGATACCAGAATCATCTTGGTTTCCTACCAGTGCCCATCTCAATCACATGAGCACCAACGTATTTTTTTTTTTTTTAATCTTTCTCTAGTGTCAGTGTTGCAGGATTTTGTGGCTCATGGAACCAAATGGGGAAAATTATTGACAGACTGCCTTCCTTATGAACATGTTATTTCATTTCCTGATAGAAAGCTTTTTTTTTTTTAAGCAAACCAACCCCACAACAAACCCACTCCTTTTAAAGTCAACATTATCCTTTGTTTTTCCCTGTATAATATAATGCACATACTGTTCTGTAAATTTATGTTCTTTACTGTTCTGTAAATTAATGTTCTTGCACAGCTCTTCTAAAGTGGTCTTATAATTTTTCCTCAGCAGAAAGGAAGGTGTTTTTAGGAAAACTAAATTAAGACATAGCCAGAGGAATATCTTGGTGCCAAAAGATTTGAAAGAACGAAAAAAAAAAAAAGACATAGCAATGTCCTATGAAAATACAAATACTTTTGAATACCACACTGGTTCAGGAAAATGAGAATTAGCGCTTACTACATGACTAAAGACAGTTTTACCAGTCCTAGAACTAGTAATACAGATCCTAAATTCTAGCAGTTAGAATTACTATCCAGGCAATTAACAAATTGTTAACAGTAAACCTAGAAAAATTTCAAAATCTTTCTTCAAATATTACATTTCATATTTCTAAGAAAAACTAGTAAGTGTAAAACGGTTTCACATAAATCAGTTAGGGGAAAACACTAATTTGATTATGAAAATAATTTAGCATTTATTATTCGACAATGTTTTATAATTAACTGCTGCTATGAAATACAAGATGCCTCACTCCAGATTGTGTGGTTAACTGCATGGCAGTAACTCTTCATCCAAAACGACTCTTTAAAACCTGCCTGAAGTGCATGGCTTTTTTTGCTATGCAACTGTCCTTTCTAGAAAACATTGATGAAAATTTAATACACTGATTCTGCATTACTGACGGCTGTAAACGGTATTTCATTGCATCAGCACGTATTTCTAGTTCTGCTCAAAATATCTGTAGAGCTGCATTGATTCAGAGCTTGAAATCAGCAAGACACGGCATTAAACATAAAGCTGAAGTTTGTTATTGATATAATTTTGTTAAATTCAAAATGCATGCTTTATAAATCCTATCGATTTCCTGTTTGTCTTCGCTTTCAATCAAATATTCCCAGGAGATCATTAAGTAAAGCGATCCATTCTGGTAATCAAAATAAAATTCAAGCAAAATCAACTGCAACCCTTTCAAAAAACTTAACCGGCGTGTAAAAAGTGAACTAGGCTGGTAGGGTATGTCATGCTTCAGAGCACCTCATCTGCCACGTCGCTGTGTGACTGCACGCTTAAATAGCTACGGTCTGTCACAGGCTCT